ATATATATATATAATGTTCTTCAGCGTTGAAGTAAACTTATCTGGGGTTTGCTAGTCTAAGATTAGTAAAAAAAAAAGCTTTATAATGTAATATATTCTTCAGCGTTGAAGTAGACTTATCTCGGTAAGATGTGAGAAATATACTTTATTTTTAAAAAATGAGGTCTTTTAGTTTTACAATCCTGGATGCAACATTTTTATATTATGTCTGTTTTGCAGGTAAGTTGTGTAGTAGGAACTTGAGGGAATGGGAAAGAGGTGTATTTTGTTTAGAATTTCTGCTATAAAATTTTCCATGCCTTAGCTTCAGAGATACCTACCCATCATAGAGCTAGTTCCATTTTTAAAAACTGACTCTTAGCATCTGCACTATGCTTACTAGTTGAATTTAATAATGCGCTTCATGAACAGCCTCCTCCTCAACCCCATCCCCCCTCCCCCACCTTCCTCCTTTCAAAGCTGGTAATGGTTTAGTAGGTGGATCCACTGCACACTAGCAGGAGGTACAACCTTTCTCATGATGGAATAATGTGCATGAGCATTTTGTTTATTTACTTGTTTAATATTTAAACTGGTCAAGTGTCTCTACCTTCTTTTTCACACTTTTTAGTGAGTCTAGTAATGTGCATTATTAAGATTTGACTTATTCATGTCTTGTAGGATGTTAAACTTACAGGCAAAGAAAAAAATATGCCCATCAGTGGTATAAATTTTCTTTCATCATGAAAAATCGAAGTATGTGGGAAACTTGGGTAGCTTAGTAGCTTCCTTTTCTGACCTTGGATGAAAGTGACACTCTTACTGGCTTTAACTGAATTTGTGCCATTGAATTCTGAAATGACAGCACAAAGTGACTCTGCAAATGAGTGTCCAGATGTGTGGGCTTATGAGTAAGCTTAAAGATGTGCTGGGGGTAGGGGGTTGGGTGGGTTGGGGTGGAGGGGTAGGGGGGGGTGGAGAGGGAAAAGGTTTCTTTCTGCCTTTTTTTTTGGTTTGCCTTTGCTGAGAACTAACACAGTGCACACTCCTGTACTCTCCTCCCACTTCTCCCTCTCCTCCTCTCTCCTTCCCTGACACCCTCATGAGCTAACACGATGTCCTGTGTGACCTTGACCTTGTGTAGGGTGTCGGACAAGCCCCAGGACAAACTGACCGTACTGCGGGCTGCGCGGGTCTCGGCTCAGAACGCCGATTATGACCGTAAGATCGATACGCTCAGAAAGGAGATGGGCGAGCCAAAAGGGACAGAGTGAGTATAGGGCCACGATGTGACCTTGACACGGTCATCCGCCCACTGCCTGATGGTGGAGAGCTTTCCTAGGTTTTGTGTTTGTTGCTTGGTATTATCGTTTGCCCCACTAGGCACAGAATGGGACATTTTGAAAGAGGAGAGCCATTTTGAAAGAAGGAGACATTTTGAAAGAAGGAGACATTTTGAAAAGAGTAGTACTCCTTTTCTCCTGATAGAGAATTTGTCTGAGAGAATGTTTTCTAAAAGGAATAACCTGACATTTCGATGTGATTTGTATTTGAACTTTGGATCTCGGCATTCTGGTCAAGTTTGTAACCTCCAGTAGTTCCGTAATGGTTGGTCCCGTGAGGTTGTCACCATGGAAATTCTAAAGGTTGAAGGTTGTTACTGTCTGTAGAGCAGTGGAACGTAAATTTTTAAAAAGGGTAATGCATCATCAGGTAGTACTATTAGTGACCTGTCCCTTTGAAAAGGTTTTGATGCTTCAACGGTATATCAGTATATCATGGCTTGAGTAAATGTGCCAGTATATGTTAGTTTATTGGTGTGTGTATGTGTGTGTGTCTGTGTATTTGTTGATTAACTCGCTTCCCCAATTCAGCTTGGTTTTTTTATTTTTGTTTTTGGTTGTTTTTTTTTTTTCTTTGATTAACAAAACATTCTTAACAGAATATTATTTATAGTTTTGCACGTTTTATTAATGCATTTTTGATATGGATGTGTGTTTTCTCTGTGTATAAAAATATGCTAACATTTGCCTTGCTTATCAGTTGGCCCTATCACCCAATATCAGCCATAGCTCTCGTAAAGTAGAGTTTTATAAATATTAATGCTTTTTTGGTCCTTTATTTGACCGAAGATATTGTATCAGTACCTATATCTTCATTTGTTGAGAACTTTCCAAGATACACATCTAAGAAAGTCTGTCAGTTTAATTTTGTCGGACGTTGGAGTCCATCTTTCCTGTTTATCACTCCAGAGTTGTCAAAGAAATCCTTTTTATCTTTACTGAAATTATTTTTCATAGGCCTACAAATTCTGCTGGAATTAAAGTAATTCATGAAGAAAGATGGTCACTTTGCTTTTACAATCCGGTATGTATCTGAGCTTGTGACCCAGACCTTAGAAACAGGAAACAACAAATCCACGCACCATTATGTCTATTATTGGTAGCTGTGTTGCAGCGTCCCATTTCTTGATAAGGTTAACGCTGAATTTGACGACGCACTTCGATAACCACCCATCTAGTAGCTATTGCCGCTTTACATTGCTTGACATTTTATTTGCACCAAGCTCATTAACCTAACCTCTTGTCTCTGCTGTTGGGACTGCCCAAGCAATAAGGCGCACTGTCCTGTGTACTTGCTCCTAGTGCTGTAGAAACCTTTGCTTTTTGTGCTTCCTCATCTTCTTTTTCTTAATATGGCAACTGCTCAGTCAATGGAATTGTGATGTTAGTGGTTCATACTCTTCATTTTGATGGCTTGTGTCTTTTCACAAAACGAACCACTGGTTCATGCACTTTACTTTGACATTTGCCTCTTGCCCAAAATAAACCATAGTACGGATGAATGAAGTTCAAATTCCCCAAAAGGGCATTCATCAAGAAGATGGGTTGTTCGTTGAGTATAGTGTGGCTCTCCACCCACCCTCTCGGCCACGTGTCACACTCTGCCTTGGTTGGCTCTGACAGCCTGCTTTGAAGCAGCCCTCCTTCCAAAATGATCTAAATTGTGTTGACAGGGGTGTAAAACATTTACAATCGTCTTTCAGTCTTTTTTTGGAAGTTGTAGCAAATGTTTTACGGCACTTTCAACACAATAGTGTCATATCAGTGCCGAAGATTAGAGGTGTTACAAGAGAGTAACAAACACAAAAAAAAGAAGGAGAGATCAGGACCATAGATGTTTGATAGGAAAGAAGGAGCAAAGCACACCAGACCACCCATCAACCACCCACGTCTCCAATCTGTCTCTGGGTGTTGTTGCTTTTGTTGCTTCACAGCCCTGAGAGTTCCTCATCTGTGGTGATCTTGACGGACGTCCATTTGTACACAACTATACCAGGCACAAATTTTTAGAACCTTTGTCTGACGAATAGAAGATAGAAAGAAAACAAAAAGAAAGAAAAAAAGTGTTTGTTAACACCAAGCACACTAAGCACACTAAGCAAATGCTATGTAAGTGGTTCATACACTTCACTTTGATAGTGTGCCTCTTTCTCAAAATGAACATTAGAACCAATTCTGGAACCCGTATCTGACAAATAAAAGGTAGAAAGAAAAAGAAAAGACCGAAAAAAAAAAATGTTTCATTATCACCAAACACACAAAGCAAATTCACGAAATGTTTACCCACACACCTGAGTGGTTGGTTGGTTGGTGCTCTAGTGTGTCTTGCTCCTTCTTTCCTATCAAACGTCTGTCGTCCTTGTCTCTCCTCCTTCTTTCCTATCAAACGTCTGTCGTCCTTGTCTCTCCTCCTTCTTTCCTATCAAACGTCTGTCGTCCTTGTCTCTCCTCCTTCTTTCCTATCAAACGTCTGTCGTCCTTGTCTCTCCTCCTCCTTCTTTTCTGTGTTTTTGTTATGTTACTCACTTGTACCACCTCTAATCTCCGGCACTTATACGACCTAATTGTGTTGCAAGTGCTGTAAAACACTTACCAAAAAAAACTAAGCCCGCACATTTTCGATTCAACCAAGATTCCATTGCGGTTATATATGGTCGCTTTTAAAGACAAGAGGGCTAACCTAGATTTGGGGGGTTTCCAGAAATCTTAATTTACACCAAAAGTGGGCATTGCCCTACTTATAGGAGAAGTTTGGTTTCAGTGGTGTGTTTATCTGTTTGGCTATAGAGAAAACTCTTCTTGTCTTCTAAGGGGCAAAAACTTTACCTTCGATTTTCTCAAAACAGCGTTTTTCGGGATAGCCCCCTTGTGCTTAAAAGCGACCATAGGTAGTGTTGATCAAATTCACACTAACAGTTCTACCGAGATTCAATCACAGCAGAGTTGATCACTTCGAAACGTCTCCATCTACTTCCAGTGACTTGAGCTTGTACTACCGCTACATCCCGGGCCCCACCTCCCCTTTGAGCATCGACGACACGCTGCAGCGAATCCGCCAGCAGAACTTGATCGCCCGCTTCAACGACATGTTTGCCCAGGACCGACTCTCCACCATGGACACTCTCCGACGCTACTCCGATGACCATGAGAACAACCAGCGCATCATCTTCGCCTGCATGCAGGTACAGTATGATAAACACGACTGAGTTGTCTACTGCTACTCATCTCTGTTTGTTCATCATGTTTTAGAGTAGAAAAAAATATACTTGAGACTTGGATAAGGTTCGTCATATAAATTTAATCAGATGTTTGTATAGGCCTGGATTTTCAATGTTCTGCCCGTTAGAAAAAAAATGATGATGCCATAGCAACAAAGCGTTCACTATTAGTTACATATTGGTGTGATTTGGACAATATTGAAAAGAGCCGAAGCTCTGAAAGAGAAAAGCTATCTGTCTATTCATCATCATCATGAAGATCTGTAACAGACATTGGGGATCATGGTCCGCCATTCATTCTTTTGCACGGATGCTTTCAAAAAAAGCAAAATAATCCTGATATTTTCCCAGACACTCATCTGTTCAGGCTTTCTAAGTAAGCTGCTCTGTTTTTTTATATAAGAAAATTAAAATTGTGATAAAAATTCCATTTTCATTAGTTCTCAGGAACTTTGGTTTACAATGAAATATGCACATAATGCATTTGTAAATATATACATAAATAAGCCTACATTTGGGGAGGGGGGGGG